GCTCGAGCCTGGCCACGGGCTGCATGGTCTGCAGGGCACGAATCCCTGCATCTCTGGGAGACCCTGAACAGAAGGCGGGATGCGCTGCCACCCGAACACCCGGCCCCGGCCCCAGCACAGCTCACAGGGTGACGTGAGAGCCAGCGGCACGCGCCCCGCTTCTAGGTGTGCGGAGCAGCTCTGCTGGGAGAGGCGGACGCGGCACTCCGAGAGCTGCTGACCAGGGATCTTCATAGAATCATCGAATGGTTTGGGTTGGAAGGGACCTTAAAGCCCATCTAGTTCCAACCCCCCTGCCATGGGCAGGGACACCTTCCACTAGACCAGGTTGCTCCAAGCCTCATCCAGTCTGGCCTTGGACACTTCCAGGGATATGGATGGGATATGGAGGGATTCATGTTCCTCCTCTCTGGGGAATGTGCTGGCCATTTTAACAGCTGCCTTCTTAACTTTTCCATGCTGTTAACAGAAGCAATAAATAACAGCCAGGAGAGGATTCACTCCTTCCAGGTTTAAGGAGTGCTAAAAAAACCCTCTCCCCTCCCAGTGCTAATTTAAGAGCTATTTCAAGCCACCGGTGCCTCAACGGTGTCCTCCAAAGGAACAAAGGCTGTGGTAAACATGAAAGACCTCCTGCCATCGCGAGGACTTCCGCACACGCAGCTTCTGCACGAGGCGTTTCCAAGAACAGAGCCCAGCACACTGTGTGTACGTAAAGCAGGGAGAAATTAAAAAAGGTAAGGATTCAGCCCCATGATTTGGTTTCCTCCTCTCCAAATCCCAAAGAATGAGGTGTTAAAATAGCTCCTTTCTCTTCCTATTTTCTTAACGGACAGATCCATTTTAAGAACCGTCAATTAGGCATCAAATGCCAGAAAGCAGACTCAGCTGTCAGAGGATTTCCTGCAGGATATAATCTCAGTATGGGCACAGATGGAAGATGCTTGAAGCAGCAGCGAGTGGGCCTCTGGCAGTTTCACATGCAGCCTAATTAAAAAAATTGAATGCAAAACTGGAGTTCTCTAATTGCTTTTCTTTTTTCTTTATACAGTGAACACAACAAGTTATTTTCTACCTATAACTGGAAGGAGATGCAGTGTTAGAAGAGGTGATTCACCTCTCTAAAGACACTGCTGCTGAGGGGGAGAAGCTCTGTGGTGGAGAGCTTGGGAACTCGTGGCTTCTTGTTGTCTCAGCTCCTTGTGGGCCAGCACACGGCAGCGATGGCTGCGGGCACTGCCCTTCCGGCAAGGCCCACTCCTGGGGTCCCCTGTCCAGCTACGGGAGTGGAAACGGTGCCTGGCACGCAGGAACCCTACAGAGCCTTCATGCTACAACAGTATTATCTGTTCCTGCTAGGTCCTAGAGATTCACAGTCTCACTCAAAACTTACTTTAACTAGCACAGCCCTATTCATAACATTTGCACTGGTGTATTTTGTATGTGTATTTGTGGTTTTACTACAGAACACTATGAATTCAGGACTGGATGGGCTTCCTCTCTCCCTCTGTTTGCCCCTGTGGAAATAAGACTGTAATCAAGAGGTAACTCACTGACCAATGAGCATTCCCATTTAGACTTGGTTCACTTAAAATCAGCGTCGTTAAGTTCAACAACTCTACTGAAATTAAAAACATCATATTCAACCAGTCTCACACGGTTCAAAGTTTGAAATACTAATCCACATTCTGTAAAAATACCACCCCTGCTGTAGTTTAATACACGACACTTGGTTGAAGAGACTTTGCCAATGTCTTTCTTTTAAACAGAAGGGTTTTGAGAGGGGTTCTCAAAGCTCCAGTTACGCATGAATTAATTAGGATAAAGTCAACTGTTACTGCCAGAAGTCGGTACTGGTGGCGTGAGACTGAGAAATTAGGTGCAGGGGTTACTGCAGCGGAGAACTGTTACGTTCAAAGATCATTCACATTTTTTTTGGGACATCTCTAAGCGCTTACAGTGCTGGGCAGAGGCCAGCCCAGCACAGCCACAGCTCCGTCCCTGATCTGACATGTTCTTGTAAGCCAAGGGCACCAGGCACAGCAGCACAACCGGGGATATTATACACGGTTTTCGAAAACCTTTCAGCATAGTCCCATACTGGGAGACTGAACCCAAACCCGGGGCTGAAATGTGCAGAGACAGGGAAAGACACTGGTTTTGTATAAGCTGAGAAGAATTAGAATAGTAACTTTAGAAAGGAGACAAAAGTCAAAAGGGAGACCTACAGCTCGCCTTGAAGGTCTAAAAAGATTTAAAAAGGGATTAGACACTGACATTATGGCTAACCAGAATCTTCACAGCTACATTAGCTCAAATGGACTTTACTACTTCTGAGCAGGTAATAAAGCATCAGGCTCCAGGCAGGAACAAGCCACAGCATCGGGATCATGGAGTTTTCCCACCAGTTGGTTAGTTAGTGGGATGGGCTTTCAAGCATCTCAGATGAAGGTGGAAGAAAACAGATGCCTTTTGGAAACAGGCTCAAGGTACCAGAGCAGCAGACCACCTTGAAATATTAATTCAGGCAGAGCTTGAGAAGCAGAAATCCTGCCATGCTCCAAGTTAGTTGTCCTGGCCAGTGGGAAGCATACAATACAGTTTTCTGCAAATTTAGTAAAAGCCCTCTCTAGTAAAAGAGCAATGCAATGCAGTGACCAGGAGCGACAGTGAAGATACGGGCAGGAACCTGTGCCAAATTAGCAGTAACTAATTTGGAAGGCGATGAGCCAAGGGAAACAAACAAATGAGGACAAATCCCTTGTGCTAAGCTGCCAAAGGAGCCGTGACTGCCAGGCTCTTCAGTTATGTCCCCACAGCAGCACTCGTGTGTGGGGTGTCGGACTGTTAAACTGGTGTCCAATAACTGCTCCTAGGCTCAGAGGCAAAACGTTTTCCAAATTCTCTGATGCACAGTTGATCCCTGAAGCATCATCATCCTTAAACGAGCTGAGCCCTTAAATCCCCACACACCCTGGAGAGAGAGACACTCCCCTGTCTGCATTGTCAAAGGTGCAGTGGGACTCAGCACAGCCTCGTGGGAGTCTGCTAGGCATGGTACTGGGATTTTGGGTAGAAAAGGATCATTCTGGGACAACACAGCTTTGTTGTGGCCTGCAGCCTTACAGATTCTGCAGGGTGAGAACGTGAAAATAGCTGTCCAGGTCAGGCAAATGGTCCAGTTGTTACTCACTGGATTGACAGCCCAGAATCCTGGCTCTGAAAGGGGTGGGTAACCAACATGAGGGAGAAAAAGTGAGGGCCAAGTAAAGGACAGAGAATTCTCCCCCATCCCTGTACATCCAGACCATTGTGTTTAAAATTTGTTGATGAATCTAATAGTAATTAATTTGTCTACTCCCTTTTTAATCCCAATATAGCCATTTATATCCAGCTTCCAAAATCACAGAATCACAGAACGGTTTCGGTTGGAAGGGACCTGAAAGATCATCTCGTTCCAACCCCCTGCCATGGGCAGGGACACCTTCCACTAGACCAGGTTGCTCCAAGCCTCATCCAGCCTGGCCTTGGACACTTCCAGGGATGGGGCATCCACAGCTTCTCTGGGCAACCTGTCCCAGTGCTTCCCCACTCTCTCCGGGAAGAATTTCTTCCTGATATCTAATCTAAACCTCCCCACTTTCAATTTAAACCCGTTACCCCTTGTCCTGTCCCTACAGGCCCTCGTAAAAAGTCCCCCCCAGCTTCCCTGTAGGCCCTTGTTGCCTTGTAGGCAATGAAATACTTCACTGCAATGCATTCTCCCATTTGACAACTGGGTGTGTGAGAAAATACTGCCAGTTTTCTCAAATGAAAGAGCAATGTCAGTGTTCTCCACTCTCTGCCCTTGCGCCTCCATGGTGGCTCTGCTCAGATTTGGGCCTCAGACCACAGGAAAACCACATCCTCTCATTTCCAGCTTATAAAACATGCAAACTGCTCATCTCATGCCTTTCCTGTTGACTGTAAAAAGCAGAGAAGAACTAAACCCTCCTATACCTATGTAGACTAGACTCTAATTAAACTTTAGTTCACCAACCTCTAATGGATCTTTGATCAAGCATATTATACACTAATAGGTTAAAAAAACAGACCCAAGTTTAGCACCTCACATGTGTTTAGGCCAAACCCATCTTACAGAGAGAACTGCATCTATAAAAAGAGTGTTTATGCTGCTTTGCGGAATTGTATTTTGACATCAGAGGACTTGAGGTACATTTGAGCTTCCGTATTTCATTTAGAAGTGAGTTTTGTCCTTAAATGCTATGGAAAAGATTTGCAAACTGCTTCCTTCATCCTCCCCACACACCTCTACTCTGCAGGTGCAGCAGAGCCAGGTAAAGCTGTATATACGTACATCAGTAAGTTCCCTGGAGCAGACATGGACCTCTCCTCCCGCCTGGTCTGAACCTCGAATGGATTTCCAAAGGAGCGTTTTCTCAGCATGGCCTTCACTAGGATCTTTGAGGAAGGAAAACAGAGCAGTAAGAACAGCAAGACTGACATATCACCCCTTGAAGCTAGCTCAAAGGAGTCTAACAGCAGCTTCTTTAATAATTCAACAGACATTTAACAGCATTACAGCTAAAGCATGAACTAGAGAAACCCACAGAACAGCTACACGACTTCCCGGCAGTGAGCTCAGATCCCTGGATGGAGAGAGTTGCTGGCAATGTGTGGCTGCTGCCCCCGCCCTGCCACTCATGGTGGTCCAAACCCACGAGGAGGAGGCACCAGAGCTCTCCTGGGCCATCCTCCCAGGCAGGCACTGCTGGGGAGCAAAGCCAGCTCCTGCAGGTTCAAAGGCAAAGGTCCTGCTGTCAGGGGGGAAGGATGGTTTTCACTCCCCCAGCTGGCTGCTGGGGGAATGGTCTATGTGAACTTGACACTACAAGAGCTGTGAAAACAGGCCCTCCTTGTGCTCAGCACCTCTCTCCCCGTAAGGAACCCCCCAAAGGCACCTGCATCATAGTAATTGCCTGTAGCAGACCTCCAGCTGACCACACACAAACCGCCAAGAGAGCCCTGAACAGCCACTTGTGGTTCCCCTGAGGCTGGCAGGCAAGTGCCACCAAGGCCCTGCTGGCAGACGTCCTCTCCCTGCTGCTCTGGCAACATCACCTCCAGGTCTGGAGCCTTCAATGTGAGGATCCACGTGAGGTGTCTTGCAACCTCTAGATTAATGAAACAGAACACACTTGGGATGCTTCTGGTGTTTTGGGATGTCTGATGCCAGACACTTGGAGGGTGTGACCCTACAGCTCTTAGGAGAGCAGCCGGACAGGTATAAACAGGACCGCAGGGTCAGGCTGCTGTAGTACCCGGAGACAAGACGTTCACACCGGGACGGGAGGCCAAGTTTCTCGTGCCAGGACCACACGTGTACCCTCTCCAAACCTCCTTCACCAGCTGAGACCTTCAGCGAGGTATCATGCTCTTGACCCAGGCAGAGGATGTGGCTGGGGTTTATACGTACCACAGCTGGCAAACTCGGGATCGTCTTCACTGAGTTCTTCACCTCCTCCTCCGTCACCTCCACCACAGTACAGTGCTCTTCCTCCAGTGGCAGCGGCTCCTCGCCGCCCTTGGTTAGCCACGGGTGCACCTGCGCGGGGAGGAAGAGACAGCTGTAGGTCTCCCTTCTACCACAGAGCGCTGTGGTGTCGGTGATGAGACAGAAACGGGGGCACAGAACTGATCACAGCGTAAGCTGTCAGTACCGCTCCATTTTCCACTTCCAGTGCTGTGGTTCAACCAGCTCCCTTGGAAATCTTGGCAATTTGGCGCCTGGCCAGAGGGCAACCCCTCATGCCCACTGCTGTCACATCCACTGCCACCGACCGGCACCTTGGAGGAACCTGGCACCCCCTGAATCAAGTCCGAAACGCTTTGAAATCTGAGTTATCCAGAGCCTTTTCATCTTTTTCTCTCACACGCACACATTTCATCTGGGTGCTCGCTACCAGGGAGAATCATTTATGGATCTGCACAAACAAAGGTTTAGGTGCTTAAAACAGAGCACTGGGTGTGACTACTGAGGCTTCATGCTACTGCAATGGCCTCCTGCCTATGTAAATAGTGAAACAACACACCTTGCCACCATGTAGAGCTCTACACACCCACAAAGGAGAGAGAAGGCAGTTTCCCACCATCTCTCCCTGCCGCTGCCGTGCTGCTGTGGAAGGGAGCTGACGGCAGGACAGGGGCAGGGTCTCTGCTACCCACACCCAGGGCTGGACATTCTGCCTGTCAGGGAGAGCATCCTCCATAGCTGCTGCTAGAAATGCTCCTCACCCTCCAGGACGAGGAGTTAATTAGGATGGATGCTCACTGCCTATTGCTATTCAGAGGAGCTGGAGGCAGGTGTCCAGAGTGCTCTCCCAGGGCGTAGTGATGAGCTTCTTTATAGCGCTTTATCAAGTTGTGTTTTCCAAAGATCATTAATTGTGCTTACAACAACTCTTTTCAAAGGCACATCACCAGGTCCAGCCTCAAGTGCCAGCAGGACACTAAACCCTGCAGTCTACAACTTGCGAACATTGTGGCTAGGGAGAAGACTCTGCCTAGCTGAGTGTTCGATGTTCCTCACGTAAAATGTAAATTTTATGTGCAAATTTTACACATAAAGTAAAATTTGCTTGATTTTTTTTCGTGGCGAACAGCAATTCCAAACCTAGTTGGCAGAGCAGTTAAGGCATTTGTCCAGCCTAATCCCTTTATGTAACTTTACCGCCTCCTTCCAGCTTTTGCCACGTCTATCTTCAGCGTAAACACCAGAGATTGTCAGCTATGAATGATCACACCTGAGAAGCAGCGTGGAGCTGACGCTCGCCAGCACAAGAACGTTTGCAGTCACATCAGGATTTTATCTTACAGGTAAGGAACGTGAAAGAGGAAGAGAGTGTGAAACAGGGAGAAACAAATGGAAGGAACCAAGGGAGGAGGACAAGGTGACCTGGATTAGCCACTTAGAAACTTCTAACTATGCAAGAAGGCAACGCTGGAGCCCCGAAGCTGTGCAGCCAGCTGTATGCTACTTCACAGTGAAAAGCTCCTTAGGATTAGTCTGAACAAATACGGAGGGAGCGTTGGCATCTCCTCGTCTGTGTTACATCAACTGCACAGGCTGCTCTCTCCTGTGCTCTCTGGGTTGGATTCCTCTGGCCAGGGCCTTCAGTGATGGTGGCAGTCACTCCACAGCGCCTCTGCCAAGAAGCTGCTTGGCCACTGTCTTATTTGTGGGAATAGCAGAAAAAAGCTGCCCTTTTTGATACTGCCTCTCCGGGACGGTTTCCATGGGTGCGAACATGAGAAAAACAGTGCTCAAGGCCCAGCCTGGTGCTAGACACGTGCTCTTTCAGCATCACAGAATCACTAAGGTTGGAAAAGACCTCTAAGATCATCGAGTCCAACCGTCAAGTACAAGTCCTCAAGCACATCAAGCTTCTTCAGTGCAAGGCCGGGGGTAAGACCCAGCACCCTGTTCTGCTCTTCTCCCCAGGGTTCTCACAGGGCTCAGGTTTCCACCTGAAGCACCTGCCAGAGCTGCCAAGTGAAATCACATAAATGCAGCTCCAAAGCACTTCCCACCATCACCAGCTGTGGCCTCCTGGGCACAGAGGGAAGCGACACCACGTTTCTTCTCAAAGTTCAACTTTCATAGTCAGCTTCAGTGGTGAACATGCTGGTGTTGGCCTGAGACAAGTAAAGAAGAGTTGTGTGCCTTGCACAGGATGTCCAAGGCCTCACTGGGGGGTAGCATGAGGACAGAAAGCCCTTGCAAAAACACAATGAAGCCAAGCCTTGTGCTCTACCAGGTGTATTCATTCGCCGTATTAATAAGCATCTCCCTGTAAAGCTGACAGACGCAAATATGCTGCCCTGAGGCTGTTCACCATACAAGCACCAGAGGAGGAACGCACTTCCAGCCCCCGTAACACAGGTCCAACACTGACAGCACATGCTCTGCAGCTAGCAGTCCCCATGACAATGTCGATTCTCCTGGGCATTTGCTGAGGATCAGCCAGCTTTGAGTAATATTAATTTAAATAAGTAAACAAGAAAGCTTTTGTCAATATTCCCCAAGCACGCTGCAGCAACAGAGCTCTTACACACGCTGCAAAATGAGCACTCTACCTTCCTGAGGCGGTGTGCCAGAGAAAGCTCCCAAAACAAACACCCGGAACAGCTCTGCCTCATTAGGAGGTACCAAAGGAACAAGTAAATCAGCTGAGACAAAAGACTGTAATATCAATTTCCAATTTACCTTAATTTCAGGGACTGTTATCCTTGTTTCTGGGTTTTTATCCAGCATGCGTAGGATCAGTTCCTTGAGCTCTTCACTTATCTGTGCTCTGAGTGAAGAAAATAGCAGAGTACAGTTAGCAGGGGAATTGTCAGTGCTCAAGGCATGCCCAGCCCTGACTGCAGTTACTTGGTAGAGAATCTGCTCCGCTCAGAAGATACTTTCTCTGCAAACGTGGCTTGAGAAAGGAAGGTCTAGTTGGCTTGGTTCCTCCTCAGGCATCATGGTCACTGCTACAGGTTCTGGTCATCTTGTCCTGCCCGCTAACACAGCTGATGCTCTCAAAATGCAGGACAAGGGATCAGGTGAATGGATCTAAGGATTTTTTTAAAGACAGCACACTCTACGGGAATTTCAGAGGACAGATTCTGGGACAACAGAGTGTTACTGAGGGCAGCACTCGAGTTGAACTCTACAAGAAGGGCACAACTTGTTCTGCCAAACTCGCATCATGAGCAACCATGTGCTGCGTGAAACATCCCCATTTGACACTCAAGTTCCCAGCTATGTTGCAGGTTGTGTTAATTAAACTGCTTCCATGAATGTTGATGGTGGTCAGTTTGGTAACTCGGTATTTCCTACCTGTATAGCTTAGCCTTGGGGTAACGAAAGGAGGGACTGGACAGATGCGACCAAGAGAAATACATCTGATTTTTTCACACTATTTCCAAGGTCTAAATGCTGGAGTGCCTGAACCCAGAAGCCTCTCTATTCACACAGAGCCCTTGGGCCTGCAGTCTGTCCCTCTAGTCCAAAGGCTTCAATGACTTCTGTCGCTAATGATGCAGGCAGTGTCTTTAAAACACTTTGATCTGTATAATCAAAGTGCTATTAAGATAAAATGCCGGTGTATGACAGAATCGTATGAGGCTGTTAGAAGTCTGTACCACAAATGACTGTTGAGGAGCTGCATTTCTGCACGGCGATGGAATTTGGCAGTATAAAATGTCACTCCCCAGCAGGGTTGGTTTTTAGCTTGAAAACACAGATGAGGACCAGGTGCTGTGCTCACCTCTTCTGCACCTCCCCAAGCAGAGGAGGGAATAAACGATCACAAACCTAAATGAAGACCACATCGCAGTAAGGGAAGTTTTGGTGGGATGAAAACAGAGCTGCTGTTTAGTAATTTATGAATACTTTACGTAGAGTTTGGTTATGGGATCTTTAACAACCAACCACAAAGAAACGCTGCTCGTTCAGTGGGAAGGGGCAGAAAGTGGGCTCCGTTTAAAGTCAGAACACTGGCTGTAGAACCAAGGGTCTACAGTGCACAGGCAACATGGCCCAGACAAGGGGAAGGGCAGGATGAGTCCTCAGAGGCTTCCCACCTCCTAAGCTGCACTGTAGGTGGCAATTTAGGTGAGAATGGGAAGAACCGTGCTGCTGGAGACCAGCTCAAGGAACAGCCTTGGGGAGTGACCGTGCCATTAGCAGGTTGGAATAAACAGACTCCTGGGGGGGGCAGGGGGAGAGAGAGACACACTGAAATGGAGGTGAGATGGTGTTTTTAAAATACTTAACATCAGATCTGTGCCAAACTGGCAATGGATTTAATTAAAATATAAGAAATAGACTGTATATAATCACTTAACATTTCTGGGCACCAGATGGATTTCTACACAACACAGGATTAGTGTCATAAGAAAATGCCCTATAAACAGGATCGCAAAGTGTCAGGTGTGTTATGGCCAGGTGACAGACCGCATCCCCATGTCTGCTTCCCCTCTCCATTCTGCCAGGTTGCACGCTGTACCCGACGGCATCTTTCATCTGAGAAGCCTGTGCTATCTGAAATTTCTCATAGTCCTGTAACGGCTGGCAGGAAGCTGCCCAGCATCGCAGAGCTCAGCACCCATTTGGGAGGACTGCCAGCACCACAGATCATTTTACAGGGTGCTCGCAGGTCAGAGAACATTGTCCAGGACTTCAGCTCTTCACCAGGAGGGATTATCCAAAGCTTCTGGCTCACTTAATACATTCCTGGGCCCAAACTTCTCCAGCTTGACTTTTTAGTCATGCCAGGATCTTCAGGGTGTGAGCTAACCTCATTTACCTTGTGTCATGCCAAGGACTCATTGACATGAATGAGAACTCCAGAGCGATAAATATTTATCCCAGCGTCTCGAAGGGAAGGGAAAGGACAATGGCGCCAGTACAGTCAGCTCCATCCCTGTCCTAAAGGTTGTCAGGAAACAGGCACTGAGTTTCCATGGACTGTCTGCAAACAGGAATGTGTCTTTTGTAGCCATGGTGAAATAAATTGAAACCAAAATATTCCTAACTGTAGTGAGGTGCTAATTCTGTGGGAGGTCAGGGTGGACCCAGTCCAGTGAATTCCAGCTTTATGTGTGTGTCTGTTACTGCCTTTATCTGACAAATAGATGTAGTTTAGACAGCTGCCAACACCCAGTAACTCTGCTCCTCCAAGAGCCTAACAAGGGGCTCAGCTTTTTTTGGACTGGGAGAGCAGGTCACTGAGAAATCCAAATAAATCATGCAGCGGAATTATCGCTGAAGGAAATGTCTGAATGAAGAAAAGGTTCTCAGCACAACCCAGTTAGCCCATTAAATGTTAATAACTTACTGCAGAGACAGATGGGAACAGTCACTTGCAAGCCGACTGCTAACCCAAATACATGATGGTTGAGAGGATGGGCGTTTTGCCAGGACCCAGAGAGCAGGGAGAAAACTGCCAGGGAAACATAAACAATTTTTTTTTTCTTTGCTGCAGTGCTGTTAAGCCAAATCCTGCCCCAACTGCCGAGCAACCGGTGGGAACACGGCAACGTGGCATGACCAGCCCTGATGCTCTTAACGCCTGGTTTGCTCAGCTAGAAAAGCTCACCGACGGCACAGGGCGGGCTTGCCAGAACTGCTCCGTACCCACCACTGGGGCCTGTGTTTGCCGTCTAACAACCAGCCTGGGCTTGTGGGTGGCAGGTCCTTGGGAGGGGTGCTCCACAGAGCCCTCGGTGTGAGGTCCAACAGCCTGAGCCGAGACGGCTCCATCCGAGCTATCTGCAGCGGCTGTGCTTCACAGTCAATGGAGAGATAACGGATACAGCCCATGGAGCCTTGGACATGAGTCACCCCATCCAAGGCAGATGTCTAAAATAGGACAGCCTGAGCACCCATTGCTTTCTGCAGACTCAGAAGGGAGCCTGCGACTGCCAAGGCAGAGGCCCAGCCCTTCACTGCAGGCGTCTAAAAATTCAGGGAGCATCTCAAAAAATTCACGTAATAGGTGGCGGATACATAGATGGGCTGCCTGACAACATCCCTCCCTTCCCTTCCAATACCAGATGCACCTTGCATTAGAGTTTTAATTTCTTCATGCTTGTTTTAAAGTCGTTTTATCCCTATGTTTTTATTAGAATGAGCAGTTGGGACAAGGTGGTCAAAAATTCTTTGCCCGACTACTGTGCTGATTTGGGAAGGAAAATAAAGTCCAGCTTTGGCTGCTTCATCTGAGAGCAACCAGGAAACACACATTAAGCACCACCAGAGTCACCAGAAGCCTGAAGGTGGAGGAGATGCCGAGGAGGGGCCATACACGAAGGAAAGGCCCGATGGCAGAGACTGAGCACGCGTCGAGCGTTACCGTCTCCCGCCAGGCTCCTTTGACAAGGCCACGAACACTCATTGCTCAGTGCCTCGACGCTCAACTTCCCAGCGCTCAAACGGTACGCGAGCGGCCTCGGCTTGTCCCCCTGCACTGCTGCCTGTGCTTCTGTGGGCTAGAGGTCACCCTGTCATCCTGCAGCTGCCCATCCCACCTAACAGAGCCCAGCAGCCTGCACACCCAGCTCTGACAGTGGCCAGCGCAGGTTTCCTTCACTGACCAAAGCGGGGCCGGCGTGGGGGGGACCCTCTCAACAAATTCACTTTTGGGTTTTTTTTCATTAGTAGCCCCAGTCCACCAGCACACAAGACAAACCCATGTTTTGCTGGAGTGTGTTGGAGGAGGCAGAGGAGTGGGGATGCACCAAGCACATGTATAGTGGTACAGAGGACAAGCCTCCTTCCATCAGACACTTCCCCCAGCGCTAAGGTCAGTCCAGGGAAGCGGCCGGTACTTACTTAGACTGAGAGGTCTGTGAAGGTCTATAAAGCACATTGATTCAGTGTACTAGTTTTCAAAAGTATTCTGGTGGCTACCACACGGGAGAAACACAAAACTCCAACCAAGCCATGCTTCCAGCATCAGAGCGGAACTCCTTACACCCACACCGAAACCCCTCTGCTTCCAAAGATTCCTTTAGCTCCTGTCCACACAACATGGACATAGGAGCAGCAGAGACAGCTGCAACGCTTTAACACCATCTCCACAAAACCCACGTGAAGGACCCAGGAAGCACCTCACCTGCCCTCGTGTGTCCCTTCGCGGTGGCATTTATGCTGCACAGTGAATACCACTGAAAACTGAACTTTATTTTACAGTAGCTGAGTAAAGTTTACTTACTCTTCTGGGAACTCTACAGGCTTGTTCTTGATCCTGTTATGAAGACCCAGAATATATTCATCTATAAAAGGGCACTGTAAAGCAAACAAAAGATTTTCCAGTTGTCAGAGATCCTGGCACTGCTTAGGCATTTGTCATTCACAGAACAGAAGTACACCCTGTTTACACTCCCGTGATTTTACGCAGCGATGGGAACAAACAAAATCTCCTCACACACAATAAATCGATTTGTTCCTTATTAAAAAATAAATGCAGGAGATCAGCAGAGGGATCTAGGGAAATTGATTGGGATACCCCCTTCCATCCAACCTACCAGGTGACAATGAACCACTCATTTTCCTTTTCTCTGTTCCACTGCTACCTGCAAAATGGAGACACTGATACCCCCTGGCTTGTATCATTGCTTTGAGGTCTTTCTGTGACAAGCATCATGTGAAGCAAGGTATTAAAACCCTTGGGTTTCCACTTTAAATTCAGATATCTGGATCCAGAGCATATTGTTTTCCAGCATAACCTTTTACACTGGATTCATTTAGACTTAGATTCTCACTCTTCCCACCTGGCAGGACCGGCAGGCAGTTAACCGAGCTGTGGTGAACACTGCGGGCGATGCAGGAGCAGCATCTTCACAGACCCTATGAACATCTGTATCAGAACTGAAGGAGCAGGTACCCTTGTTCTCTTCTGGCCACAGGAGAGGGAAGAGCCATGACAGGACGTGGAGTTTGCAGAAGGCAGTGCTGAAGAGCTGGCTCTGCTGAAGTGGTCTCCGACTGGCCCAGCTCAGCCTTCTGTAATCTGGATTGCTGGAGTGCTACAGGGGGCTTGGGATCAAAACTGTGCCTCTCTCCATGCTGTCTGGCTTCTTTCTAAATACAGGCAATAGTGATAACCCTGACAAACCACTGCTGGTGCTTCTGATGCTGTTCTGGGTTTGTAGCACTGCTCTGAGGACACGGCCAACTCTAGAAACCATCCTTTCCACCGATCTCAATATCAGCCCTTCTCATCCGCAGGGTGATTTGGGAAAGCAGGAGCTTGCAGAAGGAAGGTCTTTGTCTCTAATATTTGCCTTTATTTGGAAAGGAATGAGTCAAAAGTCAGACAGGCAGATGCTCCCTTGCAGGGCTCCAGGGTCTGAAAGCCAGCTTACCTTCCCGTAAACAAAGCAGTACAGGGTAATTCCCATGGCCCATACATCAAGTGCCTGAAAGAAAGCATGCACAGGCAGTGAGTGAGATGCAACACAGATGGAACGAGCTGGATTTTCCCACTGACTCACAGAACATTTGTAGGCATTTAACATTTCCTGTTCCATTGTGCAGAGCCTCTCTGAAGTTGGGCTCCTAAAGGCATCTGCAGCATGCCTGGGGAATGAGGACTGTGCTGGGCCAGACGCTGCCACAATCGTCCTTGCTGTGGAGCGCAGCGAGCAGCCGGCAGCCCCTTCTCACAGATGACACCGTCAGAGCTGAATGAAAGAGCTGAACCTCAAGCCTTCTTCCAGGCAAAAAACCCCACACTAGACCCTACCCCCACATCTGCACCACAGCGCTTCGCAGTGCCCTTCGGTTTCAGGGGACCAAGACATGACCTTGGTGTCTGGCAGTTCCCTGTGCCTCTTCATTATTTTGGAAGGGAATCAGGAGTTTTCTTCCTTCCCTTTGGGCAGGGAAAGGGTTCTGACATGGCTCCTGTCAGAGATCTGCAGCAAAGTCTGTCTGCCCACCGCACAGAACAGCCAGTTGAGTTTTGCCTGGACTAAACACAGAATTAGAGCTTTGGTTTTACTTAATAATTCCAATTTTCACCATAATCCCTGGGTGGGGGGCAACACACAAAGGATGCAGGTGTGGTGCTGCCCTTTGTGCCATGCCTGAAGGTCCCAGAAGACTGTGAGCAAAGACCTACCTTTCCACTGAAGCTTTTGCCAGTGTCCGAAATGGCCTCCGGTGCCATGAAGGCTGGTGTCCCTGCTGTGCTGGAAAGCTGGGCATCGTTCCCTTCAAACTGATTGCTGACTCCAAAATCAGCAATTTTGATGTGCCCATCATCTCCTAAGAGCAAGTTGGAAGGCTTGATGTCCCGGTGAATGATCTTCTGGTAGTGCACTAAAAAAAACCCAAGAAAAGCCCATAGCAGCACAGTCGGCCACAGCTGACCCACCCAGAGGAAACCTTTCCAAGAGGATGAAAATAAGGCGCAAGCTCAGGCATCCCACCCAAGGCTGTCGCTGGATACGCAGTATAACGCAGCAGAAGTGCCATTTCCTGTAGCTATTCCTTTTCGGTGCCTCACTGAGATGCACGGAGCACAACAAACCCAAGAAAAGCCCATAGCAGCACAGTCGGCCACAGCTGACCCACCCAGAGGAAACCTTTCCAAGAGGATGAAAATAAGGCGCAAGCTCAGGCATCCCACCCAAGGCTGTCGCTGGATACGCAGTATAACGCAGCAGAAGTGCCATTTCCTGTAGCTATTCCTTTTCGGTGCCTCACTGAGATGCACGGAGCACAACACTCCGAAATACATCTGTCAGCATTGGAATTGTGCAAAGAACAGACGTGAACCCAGAAACAGCCCAGCCAGCGGGACCGAGCAGAGCTGCTAGGCAAGGAAATCTCTCACGTCTTGCAGATTTGCTTGGCCTCATCGGACCAGCTGATGGGTTGGGCAGCTTGCTATACGAAAGGTTTATGGGATCCAAATAAAGAGGTTCATTTTTTTATTTGCTTATTTTGAAACTGCAGTGCCATAAAGCTAATCAAAAGGGTAGAATGAAAGAGTACCAAAGGAGATATTTAGGCAAAATGAGACAACTAGCAGCCAAGCACCAAGGCCAGCCAACAGCTCAGAAATCAGTGGGTGTTTCCAACTCAAAAGATGCCTCTGACCATGGAGCAGTCACCAGCTGGTTGGGGCCAGCACCCCTGAAAAGGCTCTCTCTAGCCATGCTTCGCATCAGAGCCCACAGAGAAATGACCTCGCTTTGTTTTGTGTCACCCCAACCCCACGGCCAAGCTGCTAGCCCCTCCAATCACTCTCGCACCCAGAGCCACAGCCAAACCTCTGCCATGCAGCCCTCCAGAGCCGAGGCTGTCCCTGAACATGACCCTTCCCCTGCCAGGCTGCTGCAAAGCCTCCAGCTCTGTCCTGGCTCCATGAGGCCAACTATGGGCACCAGCTGAATTGCTCATACATCCAAAATGGAACTCTTGAAGGCTGAGATGCACTGAAAACACCACCACCACTACAATCCCACTCGCTACAGGCCATCTGGGAAGCAAGAGTGCAGCTGCAAGACAGCCATTGCTGGACAAGTGAGCGAAGCAGCAACAAGGAGTTGTAGGAAAGTGGCTGACGTCTCAGGGGCTTGAAGAACAAATTTAGAAGTGAAACAAACATTCAGAACACAAAATGACTCCAAAAACAGAACTGTAGAAAACCCAAGAGACATTACTGAATAGGAGATTCAGTTCCCAGGGGAATAGGACCCCTGTGTCCTCCCTCCTCCCCCAGTCCCAACCACCTTCCTTGCATTTCCTTCTTGCAAACAGAGCATGTTGGTTTTATACCTCCCCATGAGCACTTTTCATATCTCCTGGGAAATCATAGAATGGTTAGGGTTGGAAGGGACCTTAAAGATCATCTAGTTCCAACCCCCCTGCCATGGGCAGGGACACCTTCCACTAGACCAGGTTGCTCCAAGATACACAATAGGGTGGTAGAAAATCCTGGTCTAATCCTTTCCTGCTTTACAAACCTGGTCAGCACGTTGCCATGAAAGCAGCCTGCCCTACAGAGCATCCCACCTTGTGTTTTAGGACCAAGAAAGAACCAACTTCTCGTAACTCTTGCTCTTTTCTATCCAGCTTTGCAGCAGGCCATGTCTGGGGAGGGGAAGGCATGCTTGCAGATACTTTTTCTGCAAGGACCTCTCCTTAGTGTAAAGCTCTGTCAGGGGATGCTGCCCTCGACATATTAAAGAGCTGATCTGGGGACCCAGTAAGCAACAGTTGGCACTGGTGCTTACATCCTCTTCCAGATGTGCAAGCGCGTGGCCAGGCTGCAACGTGAGCCAGTTAATGCTGTAACAGCCCAGATAGACAGTCAGGATAAACACTGAAAGCCCTGCAACAACAGTAATTACGAGGAGACATCTGCTCCGCAGCAAAGCTGGTGGCAAGCTGACATTTCATTATGGTAATACAGGGAGAGCAAAAAGAAGCGAGGGGGGAGTGCAGTTTCCCCTCAGGAGATGATGAGCTGCCTTCCAGGCAGGTGTCTGGTATCATGCCTGATACCACAGGGCTGAGATTCCCAATGCCTCAAAAGGAAACCACACAAATATACAGGCCACAAATATAGGTGGGTCATGCAAGTGCATCCCTGGAGCGAAGTTTGAAAACTGAGGGAGTTACACTAGGCAAGCAGGTACTCTAGGCTTTTTATTATTTCTTCCATACAGGAAAGAAAAAAAAAACCAAAACAAAACCATAAACCAATTCCCATATCAAATAACTACTTATCTTGTAACACACATTCCCTGCCTTTGCGCAATCTAATAAAAGTAGAGGAAAAACATGGGCTGCTTGCCAGGTGCTCTGTGTTTGCTCAGTGCCCGTCTCAGCCCGGCACGTAGCAGGTTTGGGCACCGCTGGCTGTTAGGCACTGGAACAACACCAGTGTCCAACAAAAGAAACACGTCCTTTGCAAAAATCAAAGCCATCAAGCACTACGTGAACATCTGCACCTCCCAAACCAGAACATCCATGTGCTTGACGTGTGTGTTAGGGACGGTGCCAGTCTCTGACCTCGACTCCTCAGAGGAGGAAAGCAGCACAAGTGCCTGCGGGGCAGAGGAGCACAGGCTGCACTTTCGGAAGCGAGCCCGATGGCCCAGGGCTTTGCAAGGCTGCCCAGCCAGGCACCTCTGCAACCTGGCACCCGGGTTCAATACCAAACTGGGAGGGGAAGGAGACGGATGCAGAGGGGAAGGGGCTGGCTGGGTCAGGAGTGGCAGTGCTGGGGGCAGTGTCCATCCCGTGCTGCTTAGCTGTGCTGTTTGGGTGATGGTAAGGAAAGCCTTGTGCCAGCTGGCTCAGAAGGTTTCTGCTATCTGCAAATCCCCTCCCCTATTCAGTTGCCCTGTGCAGAAGGGAGTAGGACAGGGGGCAGAAATTAGGCACTGAACTGGTGTAAACAAATGAGGCTCCATCACAGCTATAAAAATGGTGAGAGCAAAAGCTCACGTCTGCCAAGAAGTGATTTGGTGTGGAGCTGCTAACCTGGTGAAGGCAACCTGAATCCCTTTTCTGCTCTGAAGAAACAATTCTTAAAGTCCCAGTCTGCCAGCTGCTGTGGGCATCCTCCCCTGCACAGCTATCCAAAACTGGCCTCAAGCTTCTAAATGCACGGGCTTACCCTCTCCTGTTCTGTGCCTTGCCACTGGTACAGCTCAGTACAATACAGTGCTGCCAAAAGTAGAGTAAAAGATTCCCCAAAAATCGTTCCCAAGTCCACTACTAAGCAACAGGAAAAAAAACCCCAAAACCTGGCTGTTTTGAGGGCTGCAGAAAGGAAGCAGGATTGCTCATCAACATCAGCTAAGGACATCAACATCACTAAGCTCAGAAAAACTTTCCAACCCCCCATCCGCAAGTCCAGATCTCTCGTAGGCCACGCGTTGCAGGGAGAAGGGCAGGGAACAACGAATTCAACGGGGCTGGCCAAAGGCTGACTGGCCAAGCGAGGGGACACGCCTGCAGTGACACAAGCATCACTGCCACACACTTCAAAAGGAGCACGGGGACAGAGCTGTTTTGTGGGAAATGTGTTCGTTAACCAGCATGATGACACGCAAAGGAAAACATGGTGCTATCCCCGCAGAACTCCAGAGGGAGAGCTAAGCTGCTCGGAAATAAAAGCCTACCACTAATGACACCCTCCAGACAGCTAATGACTGTACAGAAGGGACAACAAGGAGCACACAACCCACGGAGCCAGCCAAGGGGAGCAGGTAACAGCCACAGTGAGTTAAACAATCACCAGCACAAATTAACCCTCTAATTTCAGCAGCCTGAAGCATCTGGGAGAAAGTTCCTTCCCTCTGCTGATTAAGAGCAGCGGTAGGAAAGGCAGCCTCATTAGGATTGCTACGCAGTGTCACTGGAGGCCAGGACCAGAGGTCCCTGAAAGAACACACTCATCCTGTCCTTGGGACTAAGGACATGTGTGACACAGCCCCTAGTGAGCAGGAGCAGGGCTGTGTCAGGCACAGCAGAGAAGGAAAAGCTCTTTCAACAGCTGAGTAAGACCCCCAAATGTGCATTAAAGGAACATAAACAAAATGTCTGTATGACACAACTGAACTTGCTCCATGAGGGTTTGGGGATTTTCTTTCAAACCAACCCGTGACTCCCACTTAGTTCTCCCCATGGGGAACTGGGAAACCCTAAGAGTTTGTGCCCTCCATGGAGAACTTCCAGCTGCGCTGTGTCCTGCTCTATGAGACTGGCCACAACGAGGCGTTGGGTATTTTGCTTCTGACGTTACAGGAACGGTCACAAAGCAGGCAGCGACCATCCCTGGTGAGACTGCCCTCAGACAGGTCTGGCTGCAGGGATGCGGATGCTGGACGCACACAGCCTTGGGAAGGGCCACCCCATTGGTTCTTCCCTCCCAGGCCCCACACACAAGGGGACCATTACAGCCCAAAACCACTCATTCCCATGCAAATGTACCTGTCTGCATCCCTCCCAAGGTTAAAATCGATGCTGAGCTGGCCAAAGCAGAGCACTTGACTCAAGCTGCTCTGGCAAACTGACAGAATGGTTCCACACCTTGCTTTTGTCTGGAAAGGGTTTTGCTCTTAAAGTAAGAGGTCACAGCAGCTCCCTGGAACAACTTCCCTGGGCTCCAGGATGCTCTGCACTTTCTGTGCTGACAGACCTAATTCAAAGATTAGATCAATTCCTCTTCATAATGAAAATGAAACAATACAAGATATTACAGAGCCCTTAGGAAAAAGCCTGATTCTGCAGCACTCTGTTAAATCTGGTTTTATTAGACCCATCCTTCACTTCCGTGGAAAGGTAACAGTATTCCAGGCCTATTTGCATCTGAATAACAACCTCCTGGATTTCTAGAGCACCACTGAGGCAAGGATCCCAAAGCACGTTAGAAATAACTGTTTGCTAAACCTCACAGCCACGCCATGAAGGAAGCAGGTATGGCAGATGAAGGCGCATGTACTACATTTTCCTCACAGTTTGTGTTAGAAGGCCTGACTGGGCACATCCGAAGTTGATCCAGTCAAGTCTTAGAGCCCCAGGGTGCTCAGAAACAAGGGGAATCATACCTAAAAGTCTGGACTGTCTCCTGACTTCAGGCAGGGAGTGCAGGCACCTGAGAAAAGCCTCCTGAATGCTGATGCTATGTGGTGCAGAGATACAACCTCAGAGGAGGATTCAGAGCACTCAGGGTGTCGGCAACAGTTGGGAAGGGACCGTCTTCCTCTTCCGTCTTCCTTCCCTCTTGATGGAGCCCCTGGCAGGTATGCTGCAGTGCTGCCTGCTGTAGCTGGGACGAACCATCCTTGGTGTTCAAGCTCAAGCCTGTATGAAACAACCACCCAAAATAAAAGGTCTCCTAGAAAATCTGGCTTTTCAGGGCTTTGTTTTGTTTCTTCATTACAATGCATTTTAACTTTGTATTAGCAGCACGGATACAATAGTTTAGGTGTTCATGTATAAAACAGAGCAATCTGGAGTTTTTCAGAGCAATGAGGATGCGAGGCATGCCGTGCTGGGGCTGCCCACCTCTCCTGCTTTCACACCTTCTCAACAGGGCAGGAACAAAGCACACGTGGGTTCATGAAAAGCTGTCCATGACCTGGCAGCTGGTCCTTCCAGCAGCCTTTGTCCCAGGATGGGTTGTCTGAAAGCCTTTCCAGCTGCACACCTGGGTTACTCACATCCTTTCAGCAGCTGCAGGCAGTCTGCACCCACTTCTCCCTTAATGCCATCAGCACCACAGACATGGTTTCCCACCTTGGCCCTAGGCAACAAGACAGCTGTCACAGCTGCCTGGTGGTACCTGCAGATGCCTTCAAGCCTGCAAACACACTGGAGCAGTGACGAAGCAGGGAGGCAGAGCAGCGGAGAGCCCAGGCAGGGTTGTGCACTGCATGCTCAGACAGGAGCCAGCTGGCCCAACAGCAGAGATCCTCCCCAAAATCTGCACCTTTCTCCAGCCCCACCTCCTGTACCACAGCCACTGAGGAGTCCCTCTGCCCCAAGGCTGCTTTGTGCAGCTAGCTTGTACTTCCAGGTCAGAAAACATGCCCATTTAGGACACTGCTTTGGCACACACTGAACATCATTTCTGTGAGAAGCCAGTGGGTGATGTGAGAATGGTATTAAAGGAAGTGTAGGCTGAATTGGGGTCAGCGTCCCTGCAGGACCAAGCTTGTGACAGTCAGAGCCAGAAGACTTCAATAATTACCAAATGAAACTCCAGCACTCCAAGTCCCATCACTGCTGTTAGTGCACACATTGCCCCCGTGAGGATCTCACGCCTTGGCTGTACCCCGGCTGCTCGGGAAGGTACGGGGCAGGGCAGAGGTCCTGCAGCATCACAGCTGCAAACCGTGCTGTGGCTTAGAGATCCTGCAGCACTCATACTGCAACGCAGCCTTGGGGCAGAGGGGACTCCTCAGTGGCTGTGGTACAGGAGATGGGGCTGGAGAAAGGTGCAGATTTTAGGGAGGATTTCTGCTGCTGGGCCAGCTGGCTCCGCTGCTCTGCCTCCCTGCTTCATCACTGCTCATTAGCAAGGCCCTGCTGAGCACAGCACTTCTTTCCGTTCAGCCCCTTGGCTGCCTTCGGTGGGACAAGGCAGCTTTCTTCACAACATGCAACTCATCTCACAAATGCTCCTCGTTGCCAGATACCACGGGATATTCGGAGACTATAGAGACTTTTCTTTTTCAGTCAGAAGCAAATGCCTGGGAACTGCCTGCCTAGATTAACAGCCAGTGAAGACCAAGAGGGAGCAGAGATAGGAGTGCTAGAGATTGTTCCTTGGTCCTTTTAAAAAAAGGTGCTTTTTACTGCATTCCCTTCTGGAACCCTTAGAGCTCCAGCAGGTTAATACCAACTTGCTAAAAGCTCATCTAAAAATTATTCATATAAAACTGCGCAATGCACTGACACATCCTGCTATTTACTGAGGCCGATGCTGAATTACACTTGATAAAAACCAGAATCCCATTCAAGGGCAAAAGCAATCCATATGGTGCTACTGCAGAGTCTGCTTAGTATTACTCTCACATCACCCCTGTAGCAAAGAAATGATTTAACACCCTCCCAAGGAAACTGCTGCACCACCATCCAGAGTTTAACCGAGAAGGCTGCTTTGAAGCAAGCCTTGTCCGCAACGCTCCGCTGAGAAAGAGCTGGAGGACGTGGATGTAGCTGTGCCAGGGGAACACCCTCCTCCCCACGCTCAGCCCCACTGCAGGGGTTTTGCGTAGCAGCTGGGGCGAGGATCCCAGCTCCCATCTTCTCAGCTCTGTTCGCTACTTTGCCCCTCTCCTGCTGCACCCAAACCTCTGCCGCTTGAGTATGTTGCTTAAACCCAGGTTTTACAAAGGGAGATCCCAATGCGCCAGCACTGCCCAGCCCTTTGGAAGAGTTCAGTTTCCAGAGGTGCTTCATCTCCAGCACCCAGTTGCCCGCTGCGCTCCTGGCAGAAGGGATAAGGTATGGGATTCTGCCGGTAGGAAGCAACGGGGAACAAGAAGGAGAAGTAGTTAGCCAAAGGTTGCCCTTCTATCCTGCGACCCACACGAGCACACCGTATCTCATCACTCCCAGAGGACACGCAGAGCTTCCTGCCATGGCTACACAGCCCAGCCCAAGGGACTGCCAGGATAGCAGGGAGCAGGATACGTGCAGCAAGTGCTGCCCAAACAACCTGCTCAGTCTGTGCCCTGGGCTCTAACCCCAGGCACAGGCACTTACGGAACTGCATCAAACAACAAAAACCAGACTGCCTGATCGTTCGTAAGAAGCTCTAGCACATCGCTGATCTGCTCCACCAGCTAATTACTCTCACCCTTCTACAAAGTCCTCATCGATTGTGTAGCAGCAACACTTGCAGCTACATGAAAGGCTTTTTGTTTGCGTTTTTTTTAATCACCTAAATAGAGCTGTGCAAGTGATAAAACACAAGCCAGCCCCTCTTCTCCCGCTGCTGCCGTTTACACACCCAGCACCTTGTAGCTGTAGTGGTAGTCAAGAGCCCCCACTTCAGCATGTTCAGTTTTGAGGGGCTCCCAGCTTGCACAAGAGGCAGGAGCAGAGAAGGAGCCAGCCCCCATCTCACACTCGGCAACAGAGACACAGATGGATCAAGTAGCTCGCTGGGAATCACAGTACAGCATGCAGCAGCTCCATCATGGACTCATGGCTCAGCTCTGCTGGTCCTGGCCAACATGAGGCCTGAGGAACTCACCTCTGCCAAGAGCCAAACCAGATCAAACACATCTACACTGCAGATGCTCGAGAGCGCCTACCCCAGGCTTACGCTGCAGTAGATACTCAGAACAGACAAGTCCGTGTTGATTCAGCTGTCCATTTGTTTGCTTAAATTTCCTTTTAAGATAGTGGAAGTCATACTCACACACTGATGATCAAGTAGATTAAGTCTTATCTCAGAAAAGCCAGCTCTGATCTGCACATCAGGCCCTTCATTACTGCTCCAGGCTCAGCGTGCAAGGCTTCTGAGCGTGGCAGGCATGCAGGGAACTGCTGCTGGAAAGGTAACTTCCCAACGGCTTTAGCTGCGTGTCAGACCCTCCCTTCAACCCAACAGCTCAGGTGAGACAAGCAGAGGGGACGAGAACTGCCAACCCTTAGTTTCCCCAGACACAGCCGCAGTAGGGAAATTGTGTATTTTCTACAGAGAACACAGGAAATAAGGTTTTTTTCTTCCTTTCAGCCACACTGACAGCAACTGTTTCAGCTTCTCATGAGCTGGATAAAACACTGAGCTCGCAGCTCAGCAGAAGGGACAGCTGCTGCGCTTCATCCAGACTCTCTAAGTCAGCGGAGTTTTCCCCTGGGTCAAGCTTGCGTGTGTGTTCTGCACTAAGCGTTTGCTCCTGGCTCGTGTCACAGCCAGGCTACCTGCTCACACCTTTCGTTTGCTTATTCCTGTGCCCTACTCAGGCTCTTACTAAATGAAGCCATTTGTGTCTCAACCTTAAAACCAAGCTGGGATACCTGGCTAGCATACCCCTTGTGCCTTTTGATGAATATGCTTCTCCCTTGCACCTCTCCTGTGGCTCTCGTGGACACCTCTGGCAACTGGAGAAGAGTTTAAAGTATCTACTTCTTGTGTTGAACCAAACATCTGCTCACAGTGAGGAAAACATTCCTGGCCAGCAGACAGCAGCCTGACACTGAAAGAAAATCCTCCCTGTTACATACTTCACCTGGTCCTGGTTTCCACTGTTCATCTGCCAAAGCAAACTGGCCTAAGACCAAATTCACCTTCACTCAGCAAAGCCATTCACTGTGCAGTTATTAAACATAAGTCACCACGGAGTCAATCCAGAAGGAAATCCTACTGCCTTTAAGAAGTCAAACCTGTATTCAGGTATCACCATATCCAGTATATCTGAAGGAAAACAGCAGAATAAGTCTTTGTCCAGCAAACCTGTAGGCTTTGTTGGGGGAGGGATATGTCGGGTCCTGCAGTAAATATTTTCAGCCACTTTTACTGTAGAAGAAAACTCTGAAATACTGCTGTGCCCACAATTAATAAGGCCTGGGGGGCTCCAGGGCTGCTAGTTTTTTCTAATGGATGGTCAGAGGGGTGGAAAAACACTTGGCACTGGCAAACACTCTGCAGCCTTGAAATGCCACCCCTGAAGTCAGATGTGGTTGAGGTCTATAAGCCATGGGTGGCACGAGGGCAGGATTGTTCTTAAGTCACTCCTGGCATCAGCTAAAACCTGGAGGATCAGCCTCTTCCCAAATGGGAAGTGGAAGGCATGCTGCCCAGCTGGCCGGCACTGCTGGGGGGTCCCTGCTGCCAGGCACCCGGGGCTGACCCACAGCTGCCTGGCTCTGCAGGGTGTGGTGAAC